CTTGGGGGTATATCTTCCTTACCTGCCACGTGCATGTAGTGCAGTTTTTAATACAAGGGAAGAGAGGACTGGGGGAACGGGGAGGGAAAAGAATGGAGCACGAGAAAAATTAGCAGGAGGGGGCAAGGAGCAGAAAACAAGTGGTAGAACCAGACTGGCAGATCGAGTGGCAGACCCATAGCGGGCAGGTTGGGAAGGCGGGCCCAGGCAACCAGGTCGAGCAGGCGGGTTGCTGAAGCGTGCGTCCTGCATGAATCGCGAGGAAGTCTCGAGCGATGGCACGATTCCCAGGACAGATCGTGAGAAAGCCCGAAACGAGAGCGCGATTCCTGAGCGCCGAGGGCGCATCGCCTGAATACATTGCGAGGAAGTCCCACGCGACAGCGCGATTAGTACATACATTGTGAGGAAGTCCTGCGCGAAAGTGCGATTCTTCAATACATTGCGAGGAAATAGAAAGCGGGGGCCGTTGTTGTCGTAGTTCGGGGGCCAACGACACAATTTGAGCAGGAAGACTTTCTCGGATAAAAACCGGGTGCGAGCCCCAAGAGGGGCACTTCAATTGAAAAAACACATACGTTACCGGAGGGGGGACCAGCAATCATTTTTCAGAAATGAGAGTTCAGCGACAACAGCGACGACAACAACAACAATCATTTTAAGACTGTTCGCTCTTATCTGCTCGCGTGCCACTCAACACGTATATCCCGAACCCTCGATGCCCGCCCTCTTCGTCTTCGACAGTAACCCCCTGGGGGTATTCTTACCTGCAACGTGTATTCGTGTAGACCACGAGGCAGTGGAAGAGAGGACAGACGGAATGAAGGGACAATGGAGAGGGAGGAGGAAGGAGCACGAGAGAGACTAGGAGGAGGGGGGCTAGGAGCAGAAAACACGTGGCAGAACCAGGCAGGCAGATCGCGTGGGCAAACCCATAGCGGGCGGGTCGGGAAGGAGGGGCCAGGCGGCCAGGTCGAGCAGGCGCGTTGCTGAAGCGTGCGTCCTGCGTGAATCGCGAGGACGTCTCGAGCGACAGCTCGATTCCCAAATCAATCGTGAGGAAATCCGCAGCGAGAGCGTGACTCCTGACTGTCGAGGGCGCGGCGTCTGAATACATTGAAGAATTCCCGCGCGTAAGCGCGATTTGGGAATAACTTATGAGGAAGTATCAGGCGGGAGCGCTTGATGTTGTTGTTGTTGTTGCTGTTGTTGTTGGTGGTTGTCTTTGTTGTTGAATACTAATTGCTAAATAATTACTATTGTTGAACCCCCACCTCGCGCTTTGGCGCTCTCGCCTTGGCGCCGGCTAAATTTTCTTTCAAAATGAGGCTCACGCTCGCGCGGTTTAAATGGGCCCCCCAACAACACCAACGCTCCCGCTCGAGACTTCCTCCTTTTTTGCTCAGGGCCAGTGCTCCTGCTCGTCGCTGAAAGCCGCCGTCCCAACAAAACCAGCGATACCACTCGAGACTTCCTCCCGTTTTACCTTGGACTGGCGCGCTACTCTTTCTCTCATCGGCGCCGCCCCCAGCAACAACATCGCTCCCGCTCGAGACTTCCTCCCTATTTTGCTCAAGGCGGTGCTCCTCCTCGCCGCCGAAATCCACCGCCCCGACAAAACCAGCTCTCCCGCCCGAGACTTCCTCCCGTTTTACGCTGGACTGGCGCCCTGCTCTCTTTTGAACTGGCGCCGCTCCCAGCAAGAACAACGCTCCCGCTCGAGGCCTCCTCCTTTTTTTCCTCAGGACGGTGCTGCTCCTCGCCGCCGACAGCCCCCGTCCCGACAAAACCACGGCTCCCGCTCGAGACTTCCTCCCTTCTTACTCGAGGCGGTGTTCCTCCTCGCCGCGGACAGCCGCCGTCCCAACAAACCAACGTTCCCGCTCGAGACTTCGTTTTGTTTTACGCTGGACTAGCGGCCCTGCTCGAGACTTCTTTCCCTTCTGTTCAGGGCCAGGTCCTTGCCTCGCCGCCGACAGCTCCCATCCCCACCAAGGCAATTCTGTCGCTCGATACTTCCTTGTGCTTTACTCTTGGCTGGGGCTCCACTGGCGCGTGGGCATGCGTTTTCGTGGCGGGATATGTTGGAATTCCTCGGAGGAGGTGTTTGCAAGACCTCATTGGGCGGGAGGTCTGGGAATGGGAATAACGTGCCCCGCTATAGAACAATCTTCCCCCATGATGGGGATGGTTATCATGATGGCCGCGTGCTTCGTGTGGAAGCATCGCGCATGAGGGTAAGATGGTTGTTGTTGAGGAATACTTCCTCGTATACAAGACAGGATGAGAGCCCCAGAAAAGGCACTTCAACATAACAACACATATGTGTTACCGGAGGGGGGGATCAACAACACGTATTCTTCAATCGTGAGGGCTTAGTAACAACAGCAAGCGTTGTAAGCCTGTTCGCTCCTATCTGCTCACGTGCCAATCAATACGTATATCCCAATCCCTCGGTACCCGCCCTCTTCGTCTTCGATCGTACCCCCTTGGGAGTATATCTTCCTTACCTGCCACGTGCATTTAGTGCAGCCCGTAAAACAAGGAATAGAAGACGGGTGGAAGGGGGAGGGAGAATAATGGAACACGAGAGAAACTAGCAGGAGGTGGGCGAAGAGCAGAAAACTAGTGGTAGAACCAGGCGGGCAGATCGAGTGGGCAAACCCATAGCGGGCAGGTCGGGAAGGCGGGCCCAGGCGACCAGGTCGAGCAGGCGGGCTGCTGAAGCGTATGTCTTGCATGAATCGCGAGGAAGTCTCGAGCGATAGCGCGATTCCCAAGACACATCGTGAGAAAACCCAAAGCGAGAGCGTGATTCCTGAGCGCCGAGGGCGCATTGTCTGAATACATTGCGATGAAGTCCCACGCGAGAGCGCGAATCTCCTATACATTGTGAAGAAGTCCCGCGCGAGAGCGCGAGCCGTTGTTGTCGTAGTTCGGAGGCCAGGGGCGCAGTTTGAGGTGGAAGACTTTCTCTCTCTGATCAAAAACCAGGTGCGAGCTCCTGGAAGGGCGCTGCAAAGGAAAAACACAAATGTTACTGGAGGGGGGGACCAACAACAAGTGACACGCGTGCCATGGCTCTTGCACAACAGTTAGGGGGAAGGAGGATAGGAGGTGAAGGAGGACGACGGGGAAGGGATACATATATATATATATAGGGCACGCGAAATCGGAGGAGGGCCCAACGAGGGTCGCAAGATGGGCTTGACAGGGCGAGTTCGAGGAGGCTCCAAGGGACCCCCCCCACGAGATGGCCCCCAAGACTCCCAACATGCTCCCAGGAGGGGTCCGCCCGCCCATCCCGCCCATCTGGTTCTGCCGGTCGTTCTCCCACTCCTGAACGCCCTCTCCTGCTATCTCGCTCGTGCTCCATCCTTCTCCCTCCCCCTTGCCCGTTTTCCTCCTCCCTCTCTTCCACCGTTTTAAGGGCTGCGCGAACTACACATGGCAGATATGGAAGATATACCCCCAAGGGGGGTACGACCGAAAACGAGAAGGGCGGGTATCGATGGCTCGGGAGATACATGTAGAACGACGCGAGAGCAGATCAGCGCGGACATACTTAAAATGATTGTTGATGTTGCTGTTGATGTTGAACTCTCATTTCTGAATAATAATTATTGTTGATCCCCCTCCACCGGTGCCTACTGCTTTTTCTCTATCAAAGTGTGCCCCTCGACGCTCGCACCTTGCTTTTTGACAAGGAATGTCTTGATGCTCAAACTGGGCCCCTGGCCCGCGGGTTACAACAACAACGGCTCCCGCCTGAGACTTCCTCACAATTTAGCCAAGACCCCCGCTCCCGCCGGAGACTTCCTCGCATCTTATTCAGGAGTCGCGCTCTCGAATGGGACTTCCTTTCAATTTATTAAGAATTGCTCTCTTTGGCGCTCTGGAGTCGCGCTCTCGCTGGAGACTTGCTAGCAATTTACTGAAGAATAGCGCCCTTGCGTTGGAATTTCCTTCAATTTGCTCACAATCGCCGCGCTCCCGACACCCAGGCACCCAGGAGTCGCGCCCGTTGTGGCCCGATGTGCATGCCCTTCGTGGCCCCGCTGTCGCCATTTGTGTCCCCCTCACTGTCCTACGTGGCCCAGTTGCCACCCTCAGTGGCCCCATAGTTGCCTTCTGTGGCCCCGCATTATCTGCACTTCGTGGCCCCCGCTCGTTCGCGCTCTTCGTGGCCCCATACGCATTACCTTCGTGTTCCCGCTGTCGCACTTCGTGGCCTACTTCGTGCCCTTCGTGGCCCTGCTGTCGTTCTCTCTCGCTCTCGCTTTCGCTCGTCGTCTTCGACGTCGTCGTCGTCGCCGCCGTCGTCGTCGTCGTCGTCGTCCGCGGGGCGACGGGAACAAACATTCAAGTCGCGTGTTTCGGCGTCAGCATTGGAATTCTGGGGTCTGGGGGTGCCGACGCAGCGCGGACAAAAAAAGCTTGGCGTGAAGTTTCGCGGATGGGTGTGGGGCCCGCAACGGGCTCCGCATGGAGGAGAACCGCAGGGGCTTGAAAAATAAAACGGCCCGCAGGATGTCTGGGCCCTGTCCTTCCTGCTGCAGCTCGCGCTTCTGGTCTGGCCAGCCTCAGGCCCAAACCTGGCCTCCTCGGGAGCAGACTCTCCTCCTTCCTCCCCCTTCTCTCCCAAGCGCCTCCGAGGGACTCTGGAAACCAGCGAAAGCCGCCGAAAGCCTCCTCCCTCCTCCTCCTCCTCCTCCTCCTCCTCCTCCTTCTCCATCCCCTTTGGCTGATTACCTTGAGGGTGGCTCACGATCGCTTTCGGAATACTTTCTTCGTCTTCATGCTTCGGCCAACTATGCTTTCGTGTAGTGCCTGTCCATGCTGCTCCCTAGCCAGGATCTGGCGATCGGGGCCTGAAATCCGAGAAGTCGAATCTGTCTTCTCTCTCTCTCTCTCTCTCTTTCCTACCTCTCTACATCTTTGCCCTCCTGGAGCAGAGAGGATGGATAGGGGAGACCAGGGGTGCGTCGGTGGCCACAGGCCTCTGAATCGGCTTGATGAACTCGTTGATGCAAGCGACGTGCGCTGGGTGGGTTGCGTACTCCTGGCCGCTCAAGGGCGTTCTCCTGCTTCTCCTCCTGTTCATGCTCCTCGCATTGCCCCCGCATCGCTTCGCTTCCCTCCCGGACCCTTATCTTCTCTTCCCTTCACCTTTCTGCGTTGGCTTATCCTCCTCTTCCTCTTCCAACTCCTTCCCAGAACTGCCCTCCAGTCTTCCTCCTTAGACAGAGTTCTTGACAAAAACAACTGCGCCGCAGATGATGCAGCATGAGCAATGATAACAAGTGTGATCATCGACATCCCAAACTGTGGTCGTCTTACGCGTGACTAAGGATAGCGCAGCCAACGACTCATCCAAGTAAGTACACGTCCCGCCCAAGGAGTTTGGAAACATCCATGGATGCGTGGCGCCACTCTGCTGGACTCCGCTGCAAGTTCCACAGAAATGGCGACACTAAATGTTCGGCACCACGCGAAGAAACGATGTCTCCATTGGATTTGTGCGTGGCACAACTCCGCTGCCTCCACAAGGAGGTCAGGGCTTTCAATGTCTGGGAATGCACATGTAGATGAAACTTGATTCGAATCCATGTTCAAACACCGCTGGATTCCCTCACAGGACCCTGGAACTACGGCAAGTCTAAATTGGGCAGCGCCCAGGGAGGCGAAGTCTCATATCGATGTGCGTGTGGCAACAGCCGCTGGACGCCCAAGTGTCAACGGAACGGCAACGATTTCACGTCTGGCAGCACCCCGTGAGGCGAGGTCTCAGCTGGATCCGCACATAGCGCCACTTTGCTGGACTACAGTCGGACTTGATTTGAGAGGACGCGCGAGAGGACACAAGACCATTCCCGAGGGGGACACCGCCACAGGAATGTAGGAGGTATGGGTCGCGAAACACAGGACACGAGGGTACCCTTGAGCTGGCAGGGTCGACCTACTACTCCGGGCCGACTGTACCCAGGGGCCAAGAAAGTGGCGACAGCTCTATGGCTGGCACCACCCAAGGAATACGACGCCTCAATAGGGATCATCATGCGGCGCTCGCCCCTGCTCCCCCGAGTGCTCGGCAAGCTCGTGCAGAGCGTGGCCGGCAGGTGCCGGCGCCTGGTGATGGCGTTGCTGCCCAGGGCGGAGTGCGTGCCCAGATGTGGTCGATGCTCGGGCCGGGCGAAAGGGGGGGATAGCAAAGGGGGGGGTTGAGAATCAGCTCACGTAGCTGATTTTCCCAGCGCCTCCCGGCGCCGGGAGGCGCCCATGTATCGAGGAATGGGCCTGGCGGCGGGGCCGAAACCAGCTGCATATAACCCCCGCTTTCCCTATCCCCCCCTCTTTCGTTCGGCCCGATATGCTTATGCCGACCATGGCTACGTGAGCAGCGAGATGGCATGCGGCGGCCTTGAACTGGAGGAACGAAGCACTGCGCAACCACCAACTTTTGACGGTCCGCGCGGATCTCTTGGATCTGAGCTGGCGGAGCGCGCCAGGGGCGGCGCCAGAGGCGCCGCCAGGGGGGCCCTGGCGCAGATCCAAGAAATCCGCGCGGGCCGCCAGAAGTTATGCACGTCGTTCATTTCTAGTCGTGCTCATTTCTAATTGCGCTCGTTTCTAATGGCTCCTGGCCCCCTGGTGGCCAGGAAGAGGCCCAGGCTAGAGCAATTAGAGCTGAAAGGATCTTGGCCCCCCCAAAGAACCAAAGAATTCTCGACGAATCAGAAATCAACAGCGTGCACTTCTCCAAGACGGTCCAATAGGCCTCCAAGACGCCCAAGATGGCCTCCAAGACGGCCCTGGAGCATCCCAAGACGGTTTCAACTCGGCCGAGGGAGGCCCCCAAGACGGCCCAAGATGGTTCCAAGATGGCCCAAGACGGCCCAAGAGGCTCCAAGAGGTCTCCAAGAATGCCCACGAGGCCTCCACGAGAGCCTCCAGGAATGCCCGAAGAGGCCCAAATCATTGATGCTCCTTAGGTTTTGAAGGATTTTGGCATTTGCTTCTTTTCGGCCTTCCGACGGCCCGAGGCGGCCAAATGGCCCCGAAAGATCGCCCAAGAGGCTTCCAGGATGGCCCCAGAACTGCCTAAGAGGCTCCCAATACGACCCCTAAGAGGGCCCCCAGACGGCCCAAGAGGCCTCAAAGATGCCCAAGAAGGCCTCCAAGACGGCCCTGGAGCGCCCCAAGAGGGTTTCAAGTCGGCCCAGAGAGGCCCCCAAGACGGCTTCCGACCTTTCCGACAGCGTCAGATGGGCCAGGAATGCCCTGAGACGGCCAAAGAAGCCCCCGAGAGGCCACTAAAGGCCCCCAAGAGGCCCAAGGAGGCCCCCAAGATGCCTCCAAGAGGCTCCCAGGAAGCTCCCAGGAGGCCCCAAGAGTGCCCCCAAAGGCTCCCAATATTCCCCCTCCTCCTCCTCCTCCTCTTCTCCTCCTCCTCCGCCTCCTCCTCCTCTTCCTCCTCCTCCTCCTCCTCCTCCTGATCTTCCCCGCCATCCTCCCCCAAGTGTTCCCCGAAGGGTTTCCACAACGATTGGGGGAACACATGGTCCGATAGCTTGGCAGAGCTTTTGCCACAACGCTCGGCCACATGGGCGATTTCAGAAAGGCAGGGGGCGGCGGTGACTCGCCGTAGGCATCTTCGACAGGGCCCAACAAATCACGTTACCAATCCGCGGGCCGAAGCCTGTAACTGACGTCACCTTTGGGGTCCTGGGGCCTGAGTCTGGAGGACGTCTCGAGCGGGAGCCTCGTCTGTGAGTGAACTGTTGAGAGGTCTCGGTAGCCCCCTCTCTGTAGGGCGCCCTGGATCATGTTACCAATCCCACGGGGGTCATCCGAACCTTGTTGCTGTCGTCACTTTTGGGGTCCTCAGGGCTGAATCCGGCGGAAGTGCGGAGCCGGAGCCTCCTTTCAGGAGGATGCAGCCGGAGGAGGCAGGCGGAGGAGACAGGAAAAGCTGGGAGCAGGAGGGGAAGGATGAGGCGGAGGACGAGGGGGAGGAGGAGGATGGGGAGGAAGAAAAAGCGCGACAGGGTCGCGGGGAACACGGAGGACGATGCTTGAGACCATGCTCGGTGGCGGGGGGTCGCGCATCGCGCCCCCCGACCCTTCACTCTGAGCACGCTCCAGGGCGCTCGGGCGAGGCGCGCGGCCGTCCCGCGCCCCCGCGCTCGCGAGGAGGCGAACGAAGAGGATCAACATCACGACAACGACCAGGAGGTCGAGGAGCTTCGGCTGCGACCTTGGCTGCCTCGATACGCGCGTCTTGATACGCAACACGTACAGTGCTCAAGACGTCCGTGTCAATACGTTGCGTGTTGGCCCCACGTATTGGACCGCGTTTTGGCGAACGTATCGCGTCGGACCTACGCTTTCAGCCTGCGTGTTGAGCGCCGTGTCAGTACGCTACGTGCTGCGTGTGGCGTATCGGTGCAACTGAGGGTGCGACGTGCCTGTGCCAGTTGAGGCGGCGACCGCGCCAAGGACAGTCACTTCGCGCGCCCCGGGAGGAGAACGAGGAGGAGGCAGGCCCCCACAATCACAGGGACGACGATGAGGATTACTTCCAAGCAGACTACTGGGAGATTTTGATGCGGTGTCCTGACGTCGGCGTAAGGTGTTGTTTCAGGATTTTCGCGTTCTCATCTTGTCGGCCTCCATCAGCCCAATACGGCCAAACAGATCCCCAAGACGACCCTCCAAGACCTCAAATTGGCCCCAAAACGTCCCAGATAAGCACCACATGCTGACCCCCAAGGCGCCATTCTGCCCCAAGAGGCCCCATCACGCGCCCAAGAAGCCTGCAAGCGGTCCCCCACGAGGCCCCACGAGGTCCCAAGTGAGGGGGATGGATGGCGAAGAATAGAAAAAGACGACGACGACGAAAACGCGATGAAAGACAACCCGACACGAACCGGAAGAGCGTGCAGCATGTCACAGCTCTCGCAAGCCTCGGGACACGACGTGTCACAAGTCGCAGCTTCCTGTGCGCTCTTGGGTAGCGGAGTTCGTCCAATACCTTTGAGGTCAACCCCCTTCTTGCGTCAATTTGAGCTCCCCCGCCGTATCTGAATGGGACACACGTGAAAGAACGACTCTGGCAGCGCCAGAGCAGGAGGTGCACGCGTGCTGCAAACGGTAGAAGCAAACCACAACGACACAAGGCGAGCGGCGGGAGGCGAGGAGGAAGCCGGTGGCTGGGTGCCCGGCTGGAAGGGGAGGAGGAGGCGGTGCAAGAGCCGCAAGAAGAGGACAAAGAGCAAGAAGACAAGGAAGAACAATGAAAAGGACCGCCCTTCCCGCTCCTCGTAGCCGGCCTCGGAGGCGAAGGTGGCGGAGAAAGTGATGGCGCGGTTCTTCCCGCTGGGGTGGCTCTGACCTGCGGCGCACCGCGGCCTCCGTTTGCGCACCCGCGGCCTGCCCCGATCCTTCTCCTCCTGCTCCTCCTCCGACCTACTTGCGCGTCGCGGCCTCCTCGTCCTCGATCCTCATCGATCCTCCTCGACCTCGACGTTTCCTCCTCCTCCTCCTCCTCCTCTTCCTCCTCCTGCTTTTCCTCCTCAAGCTCCTCCTCCTCCCCCTCCTCCTCCTCCTCCTCCTTCTCCTTCTCCTCCGCCTCCCCTCTTCATCACCATCCCATCCATCCCCACGCCCTCGCCTCCCTCGCCACCCCTTCTCTTACGGCATATTGAAACTGAGGGTAAGGTTTGCGGCCAATGGTAACAACAGCGCAACATGACAAGTTCAGCTTCGGGTCACAAGCTGTTGTCTGGGTCATGGCCGATGCTCGGGGTGTGGTTAAGCGCATTGCCAGCGTCAACTGCAACATCCTTGTGGGCTGCACGCCTCTCGTCAAACTGAACTTCTCTGGGCGCTTCGATAAATCCACAAGACGGTTGAGCGCTCCAGCCCGACAGATGTTGCGCCAGGTGGGAAGGAGCAGGCGTCAGACCTCCTCTCCCCCTCTGAGGCCAGGGTGCAGGAAAAAGGACCAGAAACAGCAGATGGCCAATGTGGGGCGCCCATATCTTTGCAGACAATAAGAGCCCGAAACGGCCCGTGCTGACACACTGAATGCGCCGCCCAGTTCACTCCCTCCCCTCCTCTCCCCTCTCCTGCTCCCCCCTCCCCTGACCTTCAATCGCATCTCCCCTTCGCTCCCCTCCCCCCCATGCCCTCTCCTCCTCCCCTCCCTCCCCTGCCCTCTGTGCCCCTCCCTCCCCTTTCTCCCCCTGCCCCCTGCCCCTAATCTTCAGCCGCCTCCCACCCCACATCCCCTTCCCTCCCCTGCCCCCCGGCCCCCCCCCCTTCCCTCCCCTGCCCCCCTCGCCCCCTCCCCGCCCCCAATCCCGAGTCGCCTCCCCCTTCCCCCCCTCCTCCCCTGCCCCCTCCTCTGCACCCCCCCGCCGCCTGCCTCTCCTCCCCAACCGCCTCCTCCTCCATCCCCCCTCCCTCCCGCGCCCTCCCCTCCCCTGCCCGCCCGCCCCCCCCCCCCCGCGCCACCACCGCCCAGAGAGGGCGAGCTGAGACACGGGCAGCTCAACATCGGCCCTGGAACCGTCGGGGGGTCCGAGCAGGAGGAGGAGGGGAAGAGGAGGAGGAGGAGGAGGAGGAGGAGGAGGAGGAGGACGAGGAGGAGGAGGACGAGGACGAGGAGGAGGAGGAGGAGGAGGAGGAGGAGGAGGAGGAGGAGGAGGAGGAGGAGGCAGGAGGAGGAGGAGGAGGAGGAGGAGAGGAGAGGAGATGAGGAGGAGGAGGAGGAGGAGGAGGAGGAGGAGGAGGAGGAGGAGGGAGGAGGAGGAGGAGGAGGAGGAGGAGGAGGAGGAGAGGAGGAGGAGGGGAGGAGGAGGAGGAGGAGGATGAGGAGGAGGAGGAGGAGAGGAGGAGGAGGAGGAGGAGAGGAGGAGGAGGAGGAGGAGGAGGAGAGAGGAGGCGGAGGAGGAGGAGAGGAGGAGGAGGAGGAGGAGGAGGAGGAGGAGGAGGCGGAGGAGGAGGGAGGAGGAGGAGGCGGAGGAGGAGGAGGAGGGAGGGAGGATGGAGGAGGAGGAGGCGCACCCGCTTTCCCGGCGGCGCCCAGCTGCGGCGGCGAGGCACGGAGCGGAGCGGAGCGGGCCGCGCCGAGGCCGCCCGCCGGCGGCCGGCCACCGGGGGCCCCTTTGTGGGCAGCGCGGGCTGGCTGGGGCTCGCTTGCTGCATGCGTCATCCAACCAACGGTTGGTGCTCTCCTGCGAACCTCTCGGGCGCGCTTGCTTCACTTTCGGCGACAAGGGGCACTGCAAGGGGGAGGAGGAGGGGGAGGAGGAGGAGGAGGAGGAGGAGGAGGAGGAGGAGGAGGAGGAGGCGTGCCCCCAACTTCCTCACTGTACTTGGCCGCATGCATCATCCAACCAATGGTTGGTGTCCCCCCCCCCAGTGGATGCCGTCATGCCCCCGGGTGCGTTGCCCACCGTGTTTGCGCAATGCTGGTCGGGTGTCGTGGACCTCCGGCTCCCAACCTGCCGCGACTCTGGTCCACCGACGGTGTGATTGTGTTGCTACTCGCTGTGCCCACCGCCATGTACACGTCGTTCATGTCTAATCGTGCTCATTCCTAATTGTGCTCGTTTCTAACTCTTCCTGGCCCCCTAGAGTGGCCAGGAAGAGGCGCAGGAAAGAACTATCAGAAATGAAAGGATCTTGCCCCCCCCAACAAAAAAAACAGGGACTCTCCGAAGAGTTCGACGTGAACAACGTGCGCGTGTGCACCGCAGGCGTCGCCCACTCCGCGAGAAGACGGGCGGCGACACGCGTGTGTGGCCGCACGTGCAGCTCGGCGAGCGAGCGACTCCCCACGGCTCGAGGCTCAGGTCGCCGCAGGCGTCGTGCACATCAGGTCGTCATCTGCCTCCTCCTCCTCCTCCTCCTCCTCCTCCTCCTCCTCCTCCCTCTACTCCTCCTCTCCCCTCCTTCCTCCTACTCCCTCCTCCGCCTCCTCCTCCTCCTTTTCTTCCTCCTCCTTTTCCTCCTCCTCCTCCTCCTCCTCCTCCTCCTCCTCCTCCTCCTCCTCCTCCTCGCGTCGATCGTGCTGTCGCTGGTGCTGTCGTCGTGTCGTGTGCGGCTGGAGTGGGCAGCGGTGTCGGCCGCTGCGTTCTGTGAGGGGCTCTCCCGGTGCCCAAGAGAGCTCACAGCGAGCCGCAGCATGCGGCCGTGCGTAGCAGTCGACGTCGCCGCGCCGCTGAACAGCTTTAGTTTGCTGTGGAGCGGGTACCGCTTGCTCGTTGTCTCGTCGCGCAGTCGGGTGGGTTTGCGCCATCCCATCGCAATTCTGTTGGCAAGCTCGGCGTGGTGAAAATCGTGGAGTGCAATTCCGGCGGAGATACTTCGTGCTCTGTTCGTCGCTGAAGATTTAGACTTTGTCGCCGTCGATGTCCACGTGGGTAAGTGTTCGCTCTTGCATCCGGTTTACATTAGTAGGGGCTTTGGTTTTTCATCTGGGCGCAACTAAAACCTACATATTGAAACCGCTTGTTCGAGGTCGCGCAGAATACACCAAGTGTCTTAAGTTGGATGCTGATCGAAGGACGTCGTCTGCAAAACGCAAGTTGGTAAGACGTGTGCATCTGGTATGCCTTCCGCTCAATACAACAACACTTTCGTATCCATCTTGGACGGAGTTGCCGGTGAACGTGCTCGAGCAGCCCATTCATTTAGTAAGAGCTGAGAGGGTCAGCTTGTTTGACGTTTCGTTCAATGCTAAACTCCCTGCTGGTGACGTCGGTCCTTACCGTCGCAGTCTGCTCGCTATAGAACTTATGTAGCGAAATGGTGTAGAGCGCTGGCGCACCCTGATCGCGTAGAGCTTCCCAAAAAGCACTGGTGTTATACGCAATCAAGAGACTTCTTGAAGTCTACCGTGGTTGTCCAAATATTGATCTGCCAATCATTGGACTGCTCGTGAAGCATCGTCGCGGTGAGTCGGTGATCCTCTGCGCAGTAACCTTTGCGGAAGCCAGCTTGGTCAGATGATTCCTGCGAGTCGAAGTGCGCTTGAAATCAATTGCAAGACAGTCGGAACATTAGCTTGTACAACAGCGGTATGATGGCAATTCGTCTGTAGTTATTGGGAAACTGTGGGTCACCAGACTTGATCATGATGCTGATTGTGGTGCGTCCCCATTGCTCCGGCGGTACCTGCTCGGGCGCCAAGTTGTCGTAATTTCAACAGGTGCGGTTCCATGGTACGCCCTGCCGCTTCCAGAAGCTCAGCAGAAAAAAACCTGCCGTGTCCTTGCCCGCGGCGACTGGAGTGCCCCCCGAAAGCCAACTGAACGTTGTCCCAACTGGCCCTCCTCCGACCAACGACTCCACTTCCTGCCGCCGGCGCTCCCCCGACCGCTCGGAAGGTTCAGGTCCGCGCCGTACTCGCAGCTCTTGATCTGGTGAGGGTTTTCTTTTTCGGCGCTTCGACATTGAGCGAAGAGGGGGGGGCGGGGGGGGGTCTGGCTCCAGACCTCTGCTTAGTGCGACTGTTTGCGACAGTGCGTCCCATGAGGGGAGATTCCACCTGCTCGAAACAGGTGCCAGAAGCAGCCAAGATCTGCTCCGGGGGGGGGAGGGACCCCACCTGCTCGAAACAGGTGCCCAAAGACAGCCAAGATCTACTCCATGGGAGGGGGGGAAGGGAGGGGAGGGGATGGCGCGGCCCGCGCCGATCGGCAAAGCAGTGAATAGGAGAGAACGACCGCCTGCTTGATCTTGCCGGGCATGTCCACCAGGCAGCGCTTCACGGCGTCCATCTGCTCCGCCGTCGTGTCGTCCTGGCGCGCAGGGCGGCTCCTGCTCGTGGTTCGGGCCGGGCTCCTCCCACGCTCCTGCTGCCCTTCCTCGGTGCGATTCGTCGCCTTCCCCCCCTCCTCTCCCCCCCTCTTTTCATCGTCTTCCTACTTCTCCTTCTCCTCCTCCTCCTCTTCCTGCCTCGATCTCTCCTCCTCCTCCTCCTCCTCCTGCTCATTCTGTTATTTCCCCGCTTCTCGTCCTCCTCCCCCTCGTTTTCCCCCTTCCTTCATTATGTTTGTTGCTCCTCCTTTGCCTGCTCCACCTGGTGTTGCTTTTGTTGCTGCTGCTGCTGCTCCTCTTGCTGCTGCTCGACATTCCTTTCCCCCTCCTTACGGTCAGGAGCGTTGGCTTAGCGTGTCGCGGTGGTGGTCCCGGCGACACGTTATGTCATGCAAGCGGATAGCGTGTCGCTCCGCTCCGCGGGGCGGGAGGCGAGGAACAGCTCTGGATGCTTGGGGACCAAGAAGTGCTTGGCGTGGCGTGCAGACATGTGAAGGGCCAGAACTGGCGGCGCGACAAGCTAAGCAAACGACGTCCCTGATGGTACTACGGCTTCTTCTCCTGCTGCTGCAGCTGTTGCTACCGCTGCTCGTCCTCCAGCTCCACCTCCAACTCCTACTACTGCCACTCCTACGTTTCCTCTATCCCACGCAGGAAAAAAAAGGTTTTGTCAAATGTGCGTCGCAGGAAGCTCTCTGGGGCCGCTCTCGCTGCGGCCAAGAAAGCAGAGTTGCGGTCCAAATGCTGCCATCCCAAATCCCCGTCGTTTTCTTTGTTTTGTTGTTTTTTTGTTTCTTATTTTTGTTTGTTTGTTTTGTTTTTTTACAGCGTCGACCCCCACTCGTTTTTCGTCCTGAATCGGGTTGTGACGGTCCCGGTGCCGGCGAAGGCCCCGGGAGACCGAACATAGAGAAACACCTTCAGCCGTTTTTTTTTTGTGTGTGTGTGTATATATGTTTTTAGTTTTTTGTTTTTTTTGTTTGTTTTTGTTTTTTCTCTCACAGCGCGAGGAGGTCTGGAATACTTTTAGGTCGGGCATGTCCTCCTAAAGGGGGATTTTGGGCACAAGCATACTCAACAAATAATCAAAAGTAGTCCAAATATAATGGCAAATCGTGCCCGTACTATGTTTTGACTACTTTTTGAATTTTCCTCCTGTAGAGGGACAGGCCCAACCTAAGGGTACTTGCCCTCGGTCAGTGAGGATCGACGAGCACTTTCCACTACCCGTAAAGTAACTACTCGCAAGATGGCCTGGATCCTCCGCAGAGGATCTGCGATATATATATATATATATTACATCAGAGCGGACATTTGTTTCGGACGTTTGCGAGTAGGCACTCTGCGAGTAGTGGAACGCGCTCGGTGAGAGGAGAAGGGAGGGATCGCGCGCCGCCGAATCAAAAGTGGTCAAAAGGGATCGCGGCAACAATCAGAAGTAGTCGAAGTATAATGGAAAAGTCGCCCCCGTACTATTTTTTGGCTACTCTTGAATTTTCTTTTAGATACTTGCCATCGGTCTTTGATAAGGGAAACGAGCTCTATACACCGACGCGTTTCCCGACCCTGCGCTGAAATTCGCACAGGAACGCGGATTCTGGTGTATACGGGATCCTGGTGTATACATGATTCATTGTTTCCCTGGGAACACGAGGGACAAGTATACGCCACACCACCCCGACGTCGTCCCTGACCCTGAACAATTCGTGGGATTGAGAAACAACCCGCCAGTGGTAATGTATATGTTCCAGTTTGTGTTTTGAGCAGGAGGGAGGGATCGCGCGCCGCCGAGCGCGGCGTCCGGTGCAACCCATGGGGGGAGCCCCGCTCTGGGAGCCCCTGCCGGACTCGCGCGGCCCAGCCGAGGCACCGCCTCGGAGCGCGGCTTCTGCTCGCGGCGCCACGTTGGAGGAGGGGGCGAGGAGGAGGAGGAGGAGGAGGAGGAGGAGGAGGAGGAGGAGGAGGAGGGAGGAGGAGGAGGAGGAGGAGGAGGAGGAGGAGGAGAGGAGGAGGAGGGGAGGAGGAGGAGGAGGAGGAGGAGAGGGGAGGAAGGAAGGGGGAGGAGGAGGAGGAGGAGGAGGAGGAGGAGGAGGAGGAGGAGGAGGAGGAGGAGGAGGAGGAGGAGGGAGGAGGAGGAGGAGGAGGAGGAGGAGGAGGAGGAGGAGGAGAGGGAGGACCAGGGTGGCAAATGATAGGGGAACGAGGAATGACATAAACATGAAAACTCGGAAGTCCGCGCGGATTTCTCGGGTCCAGCGCCGATCCGAGAAATCCGCGCGGACCTCAGATTTTTTTAATGTTTATGTCATTCTTCGTTCTCCTAAAGAAGGGTAACAGGAGGAAAAACACCGCCACTACCCCGACAGAAATCGAGACGGTAGTTGAGGTTGGTGGAGGTGACGGAAGTGGTGAAAACATCAACGACGAGGGTGCTGTTGCTGCTGCTGCTGATGTCGGTGATGACGAGGCGAGGAAGATGATGCTTTTGGGTGACCCGAAAGGGGATCCAGCTGCAATGGGGTGGTGCACTCGATTTGGGACACTTGTATTGCAAATGTATTGCGCCGGACAATGTTTTGCATTGTCTTGCAACTAATGTGTTGCACGCGAAAACCGAGCAATACATTTGCGCCCCGGAGTGTATCGCACGCCCCCATCATATATTGCAACCCCACAAATCGATTGCACCAAATCTACTGCACCACCCCCTTGTCGCTGGACCCCCTTTTGGGTCAGCCCGAACGATGAGGATGACCCCCTCTCCCCCTCCCTTCACTCCTACCCCCTCCGTTCCTTCATCTTCCCTCCCTCCCCTTCCTCACCCCCTCGCTCCTGCTTCCACACTCCTCCTCCCACCCACACATCCTTGGTCCTTGCCCCCCCCCCCCCCCCCCTCCCTGACTCCCTGGCATAGGGCAGGCGAGCCCCGAGGGAAGCGGCCCCTGGACCTGGGCCCTTCCCCAGAGCCAGTTCGCCACACCGAGCAATTCTCGAGGGCCTCCCTGGGCCTGGGGATGGCCCCGGGAGGCCGAGAACGAGGAAGACTCTCCAGGACCCTCCGTCGTCGTCCTCCTCCTCCTCCTCCTCCTCCTCCTTGTCCTCTCTCCTCCTCCTCCTCCTCTCTCCTCCTCCTCCTCCTCCTCCTCCTCCTCCTCCTCCTCCTCGCCTCCTCCTCCTCCTCCTCCTCCTCCTCCTCCTCCTCCTCCTCCTCCTCTCCTCCTCCTCCTCCTCCTCCTTCTCCTCTCCTCCTCCTCCCTCCTCCTCCTCCTCCTCCTCCTCGCTCTCCTCCTCTCCTCCTCCTCCTCCTCCTTGTCGTCCTCCTCCTCCTCCTCCTCCTACTCCTCCTCCTCGCTCTCCTCCTCCTCCTCGCTCCTCCTCCTCCTCCTCCTCCTCGACCCTCCAGGGACCCTCCCTGCTGCATGACGAACTCCCCCCTCCCTCCTGCTCAGCGGCGGCTGGGCGGCCGGCGTACCCGGGCAGCGATGGGGCTGGAGCGCAGCAGGAGCGAGCGCAGCGGCACGGCCGCGAGCGCTTCGCCGTCGGCCCGCAGCCGACTCCGGCCCCCCCTCTAGAGGCCTCCTAGATGGGGTCGGAGTAGATGGGGTCGGAGGATCCCGCCGCATCGGCGATACATCGGCGATGCATCGGCGATGCATCGGCGATGCATCGGCGATGCACCGGCGATGCATCGTCGACGTGGGCGAGGCATCGGCGACGTCGACGTGGAGCAAATCGGGCTGCACATCGAGCCGCATCGGCGATGCATCGACGATGCGGCGCGATCCTCCGACCCCATCTACTCCGACCCCATCTAGGAGGCCTAGACCCTCTCGCTCGGCCCCGATCCCCCTCCTTGCGGGCAAGACTCACGTCCGTGTCCACTGCGTCTTGGAGTTCCTGTGAGGGGGCGCCGGAAAGGCCGAGGCGCCGTGTACATATGGACAAGAGTCTCGTCTTTGGGGGCCAGGCTTCGTGTCCATATCGAGGCGCAGTGTATATGGACAAAAGTCTAGTCTTTGGGGGCCAGGCTTCGTGTCCATGTCCACTGCGCCTCTGGCTTCCAAGACGCAGCGGATGTGGGTACAAGTCTTGCCCGCGCTCCTCCCCCCCCCCTCTGCAGCAAGCGGGTGCGGGGAGAGGCGGGTCGTGGACCCCGTGGGCCTTTCCCGGGGCCGCCTCTTTCTCCCGGGCCGTTGTCTGACGGCCCCGGAGGCACGCGGGGGGTTCAGGCCGCCCGAACAAGCTGCACGAAAGCCTAGAACGGGCCCGTTTCCCTCTGGCCCCGTCCCCAGACATCCGACGATGCAGTCAACCCGTATCACAAGGATGCGCGGCAAGGATGCTGGGGCCTTGGAGGCCCAGGTTTAGCGTTTTTCGAACGGGGTTGGCCGGCGAAAGTCTCGAAGGATGGGCCGAAGGGGCAAGGATGCAAGGGGTACCCTTGGGAAGGTTTCCCATCCTTACTATGCGGGCTGACTGTATGACTTTTTCAACCCGCGGGCCCAGAGGTCCCGACGACCCCTTCCCCAAGGGTAGATGGCCCCAGGGCCAGATCACAGGCCCCAAAGACTGAACTCAAGGGAAACACAAACATTTCCGGAGATGTGGGTCTCCTTCACGGCGACCCCTGCCTCCCTCCCAGCCTTCTCACTCACCCACCCGCGTCTTCCCGGCCACAGCGTCGGAGTAGCCGGGAGGGTATCGATCTGGTGGGCAGGGGCAGGTGCCTCTAGTCCACCTCTCGCTCTCGGCGAGCATCGGCTTGACGCTTTCTTGCGCTGTAGTGCCCTACTGTTGGCGTCGCAAAGATTGAAGGGGCCCCAGGACACACAAATAAATACACACAAATAAAGATATCCCCCATATTTTCCTATATTTTCTGGATTTTTGTCTTCCCCCCCACTTCCCATGTTTTCCCATATTTTCCTGGGGATCGACGATTAATTGTGTCTGTGTGTTTTTTCCCCTCCTGAAAGATGGCGTGCAACATCGCTCTCCGAAGAGAACGCTATCCCTGTGATGCGATCCCCCCGCGAGGGCGCCTTGTGTGCACGCGATCCCCCTTGCGAGGGCCTCGTCGGCGCACGCTGTCCCCCTCTGCTGGGGCTCTGTTCGGCGCGCGCTGTCCCGGAGGTGGGGGACGGCGTTCAGTAAGCGGGCCGACGGCGCCACATCGCACGCTATTTTTGCGACGCCAACTGTGACCTCACCCCTGCTGGCTGGCTCCTTCACGCCGAACGTCACGACGACGATGATGATGCTGCTGCTGATGATGCTGCTGCTGATGATGCTGATGCTGATGCTGGTGCTGATGATGCTGATGCGACGCCGACTGTGACCTCCCCTCTGCTGGCCGGCTCCTTCACGCCGAACATCACGACGTGCTTCACGCCCGATGACTGCCGCGCGCCCATCGGTCCCGGATCGGGGACGCCCGCTGTCACAGACCGTAGGACGAATGGCGCTGGGAGCCCAAAGATAATGATTAGAAAAGGGGGCACTTTCTGATACCAAGGAACTGCGACCAACAACATGCTCACTCGCGCGAAGCCTAACGGCTACGGAGAAGATACATAGAGACGAGAGGGAACACACACACGGGGCCCACTAGGGCCAAAGGGAAACAGCGGATCCAATTTTCGTGGATCGAACTCCGGAAGACGTTAAGACCAAGTATGCTGGCTCCATTGGCGAGGGTTCCAAGAACTCCTGGAATCGAACTCGCTTCTCGCTCCTCTCCTCCTCCTTCTCGCCCTTCTGTCTTTCTCCTCGCGTCCCTTCCCCCACCTTCTCCAGATCTTCTTCTCTCCTTTCTGGCACCTTAGCGTGACCAACTACAAGTACCTTAGACTGAACCTCCAAAGCCTTCTTGGAAGCTCCTCGGGAACGGGATTTCAACGAAACGTTCAGTGCCCTCTCAGTACAGTGGCCGTCCTCATCGATAAGACACAACGAACCCCGGGTCAACACGTCATGCAACGCGGCATTACCGCGAGTGGGGTCCACTTTCGTAAGGGGATCAGCCGGCATGAGACCATGGGGGAGCCACCTAATTTGAGACCCGACACTAGAGAGAGAATCACACACTACAGCCATCTCGATGGCGTTCCTTCTGTCAGCTCGAGACCCCGCACTATTTCTCGACAGTGTGTCAAACACGCTTTTAGCGTCAACTATCGACAAAGCAGAAGCCTGTCCGGCGATCTCGCACTCAGGAGACATGATCACAGAGAACGGGCCCTGGGATAACACCCAGTCCGGCCTCGCAACATCACCGAAAACCACGTCCCTCCAGAGAATCTGCAGCCATTGTGCCTCTGCAAGAGCTCCTGACAACGACAACGTCTCTGCAGCTATCGTGCTTGCCACGACCCTCTTAAGCCTCTGCGAGCGCCACGCCACAAGACTCACCTTGGACCGCCGATTTTGACGAATGGCCCCGTCGGCGGCGAAAACGAGTCACCCGGACTGAGCGCCCCCCCGCCTAGCCGACCCGGGACCCCCCGCGTCAGACGCAGTCGCAAACGTCAAACACATGGGATCGAGGTTCCAAATCGTGATATGTTGGGAGGCTGAGGCACGCACGAACTTGACCACCTTATTAGCCATGAGAGCATCCTCCATCACTGGCTCGGGCAGAGCAGCGGCCAACAAAGACGCACTTCCTGCCACATCTGGGCGGGGCTCGCGACCTAGCCACTGGATCTGGGCAACGGTCGTCCTATACGAGGATATCTCAGACGAAGTCAGTGGCGCACTAGGATCGCTCTTTCTCTCTTTGGAGATCACAATAGGGGTTAGCTGCTCCCGCACGTACTTCTCTTGGTCGACGATTATCTTCTCACCCACCTGTTTGATGTGGCGACCGGCATAATCCGCCTCGCCCTCTTCCCACTTGCCGAACTTAAACCGATCAAACAACTGCTTCTTCAGCCCGGGCAGTATTGAAGAATCTCCCGACACGATTAAATCGTCCACTTCTATCAGCACCAAGGCCTGAAGTCGACCAGCTCCACTCCTTAGCAGCCAGAGGCATGGCTCCAGAAGCGATCGGGCGAATCCTATCCCTTCTAGGTGTCCGGTCAAGGTGCGGTCCCACAGCAACGGAGCATCATTGAGGCCGTAGACCGGAGCCACTAATTCTATCAGAGTCTCTGGGGGAAGATTTAAACCAGCACAAGCCTCCACATAGATAGCACCCTTTGGACGTTCGAGCCTATTGCTCTGACAAAAGGCGTTCTTCGCATCAGCAATCCCGAGAACCCACCCCATCGAGGCGATCACCTGTAACACCAACATAATGGATTCTGACTGTGGAGTCGGGGCGTAAACCTGTAACTGCTCACTATCTGGGTCTTGATGCCCGTGTACGCACCAGCGACTCTTGGCCGTCGGAGGGTTGCCCGCACCTTCTGAGGGCTTGAACCTCCTGATCATGCGAGAGGACAGGATTCGATCTGGATGTCTCCTCCTAACTAGGCGAGACTCCTCTGCAGCAAGCACGCGTACCGCTCCTGTGGCGGTCATCGCCGCCCACTCCTTAGCATCCGACGCGGAAAACAATAACCTCTCCTCAGGGGAAAGGTTCTTCAACTGGACTTCGGCTCCCCGGCGGAGGACAGGCGCAGCTCCGCCTTCGAGCCCAGAGAAACAGTCCTGAAAATCAAGGGTGAAGAACGACTCTCCCTCGGCCCCTCGAACCGAGAAGAGGGTCTCTAACGAAATGCCCCGAGCCAAAGCTTCCTGCATCAGAATGCGATCCTGCTCACCTTCCTCCTCTCCCTCGTAGAGGCCCAAAGACGGCTCTCCCCTAGCATTCACACCCCAACTTGGCTCGGACCAGTCACTTGGCAATGGCGATGGCTGCCCCCTGGCAACCGAGGTATTAGGCGAACGACTTCGCCGGCGACTGCTGTCCGTGGGCTCGCTGGACCCACTCGCAGTCTCTGTCTGCGCGTTCGGAACGCGAGACTCCCTTCTCGAAGACCCTTCCCACTCCCGGATCCGATCGGAGACGGTCCCCGATCCCCACTCGACCGGAGTCAAACGACGGTCCCCTGGGCCTGGGCCCTCATGGGGCCTCGGGGCCACCGAAGTCAGAAGGCCACGCCTGGGCCTGGAAACCGGGGGCTCCACGTCCGCCTCGCGGTCCTCGGCGGGTCTCCGAAGCTGGGTTCTCGGTTCCGGTTCGTCCGGGGGCTCTGCCTCCGAGTCGTCAACCGAAATCACTCCGGGGGGCGACGTCGGACCCTCGTTTCCCGCCACGGTCCCAGGGGGGGAAGGATCGGCAGGGACGACGGAGCTGGGAAGGGGAACCCTGGTCGAGCTTTCCGACGGGGCGACGGCATCGGGCGCGGAGGGTTTCGGGACCGAAGCGGGCACCTCGGGCGCCCTGCGAGGCGGTCCTTCCGGAGAACCCCCGCCCCCCGGAACGTCCCAAGCCTCGGGCGGGGGGGGGCCCTCGGACTCGACATCGACGGCCCCAACTCTACGCCCTGGGTTCCTAATTTCCTGCCTCAATTGATCGAATCTCGGGTTGTCCAACAATTCGGCCCCTAACGCTTCGGGCCTCGTCGCCGGGCGGACTTGCTCGGAAGAACACTTCAGAAGTCGGTGGCGCACCGCCGCCCAGACCGTGCTCCGAGATTGAAACACTACGGCCCCTGGTCCGGTCCACCTGTCTCTCTGAAGCTCGTGACTCCTATTCGCTGCCGTGACCTTCCTCCACGCGTGCACCCACTCCCCCGGCTGATAAGCCTTGTCGACATGCTTCCGAGCCTTAGCTGCTTCAGAGAGCCGGGTCCGGGCGTCGTGAGACGCGAGAGCCCGCTGGGCCTCCAGCCTCGGCTGATGCGCCCGTGCGAACGCAGCTGCGGCTGTGTCTTGGTCTATAGCACTCGTTCTCAAATCGTCAACACCGATGTCGTCAACCGCATCGTCACTTAACATACTTTTTGGGATCCTGGGGTTCTCACCGAAAACCATCTGCGTGGGACTGAAACCCCCCCTGTGATACGTCCTGTTCTTTCCCGCCACAACTTCGCACAAAAGCAACTCGACTTCCTCTCGCGAGGACGGCGTCGAGGACAGTGAGGCTCGGGAGAGAGCACTCTTGACAATCCCTCCGTGCCTCTCGCATTTTCCATTGAAGTGGGGGGAGTTGGCAGGAATGATCTGAAGATAGATCCCGTGATGTTCGCACTCTTGAAAAGTGACCCCCACATTCCGAGCCCCCATCCGAGAGTATCATCTCTGGCAGACCGAATGGCCTGATCCACCACTTGGCCAGGGCGGCCCACACCGTGGCCGACTGAGCGTCTGGGAGAAGACAGCACTGTTGATAACTAGTCCCGTGATCCACCATGTTGAGCACTGGGATGCTCTCGCCCTGGTGATCAAGATAAAAAAGGTCTATCGAAAGCAACCTGTTGAAACGATACGTCCGAGGCAAGTGAGCGCGACGCCTCCAGTATGGGCGAGAGTGAGACGTACAATGTTCGCATCGAAATTTCTGACGCACCCACTCGACCACCTCAACTCGAGCCCCAGCAACTCGAAGAGTCCACACAAAATCGTCCAACATGGGGTGACCTAAGTTCACGTGTAATCGATGGATTTCTCGCTGGAGTCCCTGGTCGATCTCGGGCCCAGAGTGCCTGACGCCAGAGGCCTGCTTTGGCCTCGTCGTGGTTTCGTCGTCGTCGGATCCCGGAGCCCCCGCCCCATCATGAACCTGGGAATCATCGTCCTCGAGACCTCCCCCTTCTACCGGATAGCTGGACTCAGCACCTCCGACGTTGGCCTCGCGCCTCCACAGCGCCGACTCGATCCCGTTGGCCATCGCTGTCACCAGCGCGGAAGGATACTTCTCCGCCTTGCGAGTCCTCCCACTCCCTTCCAGCGGCAAGTGCTCGTGCTCTCCCTCACATCTCTTGGAACACTGTCGGAGGAGGACCTCCTGACTCGCCAACAGGCGCGTCGGTTTCTTCGAGAGAGTACCTGGACTTACCGAGAGACCGTACTGGCACTGACCCAGGACCGTGGAAACAACGCCAGGAGAAGACGCAATGGTTCTGATACTCTCCAGGTCCCAAGAGCTCGCAGATTGAGGATGCTCAAGTATGAAATCTCGGCCCAAAGAAATCTGGTAAAGGGCGATCTCACAACGCAAATGAAGAAAGGCGATCCCCTTTCTCTCAACCTCGCCCCTCTCCCCTTCGTCCATCCTGCTCCAATTGATGGCAAAATCAACACTGAAGGTACGACACACGGGTGACATGATAATACATTGGGGCTGGTCTTTCTTTATGAGATCCCAAAGTCGTTTTATCCCCGACGAAGAGTCCAGATCCCACCCCGTGAGGAGATCGACGGCGGGAGAAACCCGATAACCTCGCTTAGTCATGGTGGACGAGACCCTCTGGGGCGAGAACACTTCCAACAGAACGGTTCCTCCCCTGTTGCGTTCAGCCTCTAGAGTGACTCTCCTACGACTCGAATGACGACGAGGAACTCGTGACCCCTCCAGCATCTCCGAGGCTGACTGTCGAACGTTTCTAGGAACTGACCGGACCTCAAGCTCTTCAAGCGGATCCGCCATCCCCAGAGAGATAAAGGAGTCAACTTCCACGGCGTAGTAGCGGCCCAGCTGTCCCTTAGTGTCCGAGGAAGGAGGGGTCGATGAAGAGAGAGGGGATGTGGCATCTAAGCTAGTGGCTTGAAGTCCCCGAGCGCAGAGCCCCCTGAGCCCTTCTGAGCCCCTGACCGTCTTTTCGTTGTAGTCCCCACTAAGATCGGCTAAGCCCGCCACCTCCTCCTCATACTCTTCCTGCTGCTCTTCTCCTCTCCTTCTCTCTTCTCCTTCTACTTCTAGCCGGCTCGCGAGAGGCTTCGAGCTCCACAGGGTCACCGTCAGATCCGAAACTGGTTTGTTCGCGACGATCTCGCTCAGTGCTGAATATGAAAGGTGACGCCAGATGGAGTCGTACAGGATTGCCCTCGAGGCGCGCACCTGTACACGATGTATTCCAGAGGGAGTCAGATCCCTCGGGGGCTTGCCCCCTACTCTCGCAAGAGCGGCTCCGACAAAGAAAGCTGACTTGTCTCTTGTCCCAAGAACAGTAGGTTTCCATCCCAGGTCCTTCGCGACCTGGTTCAGGTCAGCCTGGTGCCCGGCGATTCGGTCCCAAATGCCTCGGCCGGCCCCGGGGGCCGAAGGAAACCTGGAAGCGATTGCTCTGAACCTCCAAATCTCGAAGCACCATCGTCTGAGTTTCGGTCCCGGATCCCAGCTTTCGAATTTCTTTTTTCTGCCCTAGCTCAGGCCAGGCCTCTAGTGGGAAACACGTCCTCAGATCCTCGGGGAGGCCTCCTCGTCGTGTGCTCGCTGAAGTCCGTCGGCTGCCCTGATTGCCATCGCGATCCTCATGATGTCCTGGTCCGTCAGCGGAGCCGGTGCGGCTGCCGCCGGGAACGCAACCAGGTTCTCCTGCGCCGACGACAGCTGTTCGGCCATGATATGCATCTGATCGAGAAGCGTCTTCATCTTCTGCTCGTGAATCTCCCTCTGAGAAATTGGTGGCCTGGACTCGAGGGTTGCTGGCGGTGCCTTGACGAGCGTCGGCGGGATCCCGCGCTGAATCTGCGACGGCTCCAGAGTCATATCGCCCGACCCGCTGGCCGCAGACGACTTCGGACGAGCTCCCGGAGCCCTCGGGCGGGGAGGATCGTGAGGAACCGGTTCCGCCAACCAGGGGTCCCCTGGAGGGCCCGAGTAGCCTTCGACCATCTCCCTGCACTCCTGCTTCATCTTCAGGCCGGCCTCGCGCTTCACCTCCTTCGCGTACTTCTTGGCCTGTGCTGCGGCTTTCTCCTGAGGGGTCTTGTCGCGCAGTGAGAGGCGCGCCTTGCACATCCGGCAGTGCGAATATACACTGGTTGCGTTCCTCCCTTCTTCGACGGCCCACGGTGGATGCGGGCAAGTGTCCTGGCAGTCGAACTTCATCTCCACCGCCTGCGGCCACGTCGTCGCCACCCCGTGGATCCTGAGACAGGTGGGCGCGATGTGGAGGAGCCGAAGAGCACACCGCCTCCAGCGCATCAGAACCGGCGTGGGTAGTAGGATCCCGAGATTGAACAGCTCCCGGCCCTGGTCGCCCATGTCCTCCTCGGCGAGATTGATCCTCTGCAGCTCCTCCGGGACCTCCTCCCAGTCGTCGAACTCCACATCCTCGTGGATAAAGCCGAGCTGAGCTGCTGCCCTTCTCCTGGGCTTCGGAACCGAGGTCTTCAGCGAAGGACTTTTCTTCACCATCACGGACGCGCGTAGAGTCAATCCTGCTAGCCGAACTTTGAGCCGAAACGCCTCCGGAGGTCGACCCTGATCCTTGGACCGCTGTTCCCCGGGACCAGAACACACTCCCAACGCCGAAGGAGAGAGACTGAGACAGGGCCTGTCGACTGTCACTGCCTACTGCCCAACCCTCCCTCATGTCCTGACGCACGTCCTCCGGCATCCTCTCGTAGATCTCGTCCGCGATCTTGAAGTCCTCGGGGTCGCAGTGGATGAGTCCGACGGACCGGTGACCGGCTGTGTGGCGTACAAGTGGACGTGTGACCTTCTCGAAGTCACCGAGAATCACCTCGTCGTTTCCGAGGTCAATCACGGCCTTCATCGCTTCCAACAACCGTGCGGGTAGAAGAGGAGGGCACCGATGAGGAAGTACGAGAAACTCAACAATTCCGCAACGCCAGAGGCTGACTGGAACCCACGCTCTGGCCACGGGCCCCACACGACCTCCGATGCCACTCGCCGTGATTCCCGGGGCCGTTCCCTCCTTCACCAGTATGCGAAAGCCACGACGCTCGAAAGCCTCCCTCATCACCGAGAGGTCGTCCTTACCGATAAGAGCTTGGCCGGGTGCTGTGTCGACTAACGCGTGGTCCCCCATCTGTCGTAGCGACAACTCTGACCGTTCCAGCTGGCAGGCCCTCAGCAGGCCGTTCCAATCGGATACGCTGATGAAGTTCTCAGACTCCGGCAACATGTCGAAAAAGAAGCTCTTGGGGGCGTCGTTCTTCCTGGTCTTCTCGGCGGCCATCCTGTCAGCCTTCGATCGAAAGGGGTTCTCGCAGGTCTCGGCCCAGTGGCCTCGGTCACCGCAATTGGCACGCCTCGTCTTCCGTTTGATGTCGGACATCATCACTCGGCGAAATCCAGGCTTTGTCGAACGCCTCCTATCGAAAAAGTCCCGGTCTACTCGTTTGGCCGCCTTCATCTTTCTGGCCGCTGCCCAGGTCCGGCGCTTTTCTTTGCCCAAGCGGTCCTCGATCACGGCGCCGAAGATCTGGAGTACCTCGTCCTCGCCCAGGTCTTGGCCCTCCAGTGCTGCCAGAAAGCCCTCGGCGTCTTCCTCGGGCAGCTCGATCGAGTCATCAATGTCCGTCAGAAAGACTTCTCGTGCATCATCTTGTGGAGAGGTCCATGGCTGCGGTGGGGGCGGTACCTGACTTGACGATGAGGCTTCTTCGGAATCGTTCACGAACGTCTTGACCGGAGCATGCGAAGTTGGGAGCACCGAGAAGGTCTCCTTCACGTCGAGTTTCAGAATGGCGGCGCGTATCGAAGGGAAATCTGAGAGTCCTCCTGCGAGCGTACGCATATTTATCCT